TTAAATTAAAGGGGAAAATTTACAAGGCCGTCGTAAGACCTGTCATGATGTATGGATCTGAATGTTGGGCAGTAAAAGGGACGGATGAAAGGAGACTACATGTGACAGAAATGCGAATGTTAAGATGGATGTGCGGGGTAACACGAATGGATAAGATACGAAATGAGTATATTAGAGGAAGTTTGAGAGTAGCCCCCATAGTAGAAAAGGTTAGGAGTAAAAGGTTAGCATGGTATGGGCATGTTATGAGGAGGGATAAATCGCATGTTACAAGGAGAACGTTAGTTATGTGTGTGGAAGGGTACATCGGTAGAGGTAGACCTAGAAAGAGATGGATGGATTGTGTGAAGGGTGACATGATCAAGAAGGGAGTGATGACTGAGATGACGTATGATAGAGTTATGTGGAGGACAACAACCTGTTGGGCCGACCTACGGGAGTAGGATAAGGAGACGATGATGATGATGATAAGGAAATTGTATGTTTGTCTCTGAAAACCGAAAAATGCCTGCTATAATTAACTTAAGAACTATCTATTTACACATTTTCCTTGGTGTTTAAGTTGTTGACTTAACTTAACTTCAAATACATTTGTTAGGTTGGAAAAGAATTTTTAATCATATTTGATTTTTATGAAGTCTAAGTATTTCATCTAAACATTGCGTTTTTATAGGAATATTAAAAAGCTAATCAACTCCCGCATAGTTTGTGGTTGTACTACAAAAAATCGATTGAATTGCTGATTCCGATTAACTATTATTCGTTTTTCCGATGTAATTATTTTGGCTATATAATCTGTAAAAGGCCATAGAGAAATTCTTCTGTCTTTGGTAATTTCTGACACTTGTCTATGTCTGTTAAAATTTTGCTCTTTTCTGTTTACTGTCAAGTGAAGATTGCTGTGTTTTCACCATGGTAAATTTTAGAATTTGTTAAATCTTTAAATACTATCTAAATCACTTATTGTTTTAGGTATTATTTATATCAGTTTACCATATAATTGTGATAGGAAGAGTGAAATACAAGTATTTCTAACTTACAGGGTCGTGTCAGGACTAAGACCGTCAAGAAGGCAGCGAAAATTATTATTGAAAAATACTACACAAGATTAACTCTTGATTTTGACACAAATAAAAGGATATGTGAAGAAATAGCCATTATCCCAACAAAACCTCTTCGTAATAAAATTGCAGGGTAAGTTTACTCAACTAATAAGACTTTCTAACCTATTAAAATTCAAAAGTATTTAGTATACAAACATTAAATTTTTAAAATATTACATAAATACTATATTTAATTAATTCAAATATGTTTGCATGTGAAAGGATATTAACCAACTGAACTAATAATCAACTGAAATTTTTATAATTAAATGTTTTGTTTGTTATATTTATTTATCTTTAAAAACTTTAACAGTAGAGTTTATCTTAGTGCATAGATTTACAGAAATGTAAAATAATTTAAGTTTGTATTATTGCTTAAATGAACATTAATTACTCAATAAATAAAGTTCGTAAAAAAGCTATGCAAGTATTACTTCAAAGTTATCCTCTTCATTTGTATGGATGGATGTTTGTTAGTTGTCTAAAATGACCAATGGATTAGATGAAATTTGGCACAGATGTACAACATAGTCTGGAAAAAGACTAGCTACTTAGAAAGTGGGTGAAACCAAATTTAATTATAAACTATATTATGAACAGCCACCCTAACAGGGTTGGCTTAAAGCCGCTTAGGGACTGAGCTGGTAATGAAGATATTTTTTTTGTTACAGATTTGCAACTCACTTGATGAGACGTCTCAGACACTCACAAGTACGTGGTATTTCTATCAAACTGCAAGAGGAGGAGCGTGAGAGACGTGATAACTATGTTCCAGAAGTTTCCGCACTTGAACATGACATCATTGAGGTTGATCCTGACACTAAGGACATGTTGAAGATGCTGGACTTCAACAACATCAATGGTCTTCAGTTGACCCAGCCTGCTACTCAAGGAGGCTATGGTGGCAGACGTAATTAAGGAGAATAAACTATAATATCAAATAAATTGTTTTCATTTCCTCTTTAAAAATTTCATTTCATTTTTTTCATTTTCAATTTCATTTCCTGTTAAAAATATGTTATTAAGCAGTGTTTCAAATTTCTGGCTGTACATCCATAATCTCTCTCCTATTTCTATGTTCTCAAAGTGGGGCAGAAGGCGTTCACAGTACGCCGCCAGCTCGCTCTGTCCTGGGCTCTGCGTTTTGTCTCGGACCATGACTGCCCGATTGCCTTCAAGTCGGCCGCCACTGAACACCGCCAGGTTTGTTTAGGGGCGGCCACGCTTTCATGTTCCTTGTGGGATCCACTTCCATCCTTATTACCTTGTACTTAATAGTTTGGAAGTAGGTGAACTAGTGCAGTAACGTTTATTAGTGTTTCATCAAACATAACTTTGAATTGCTTTATTTACAACTTATGTATTTTGAATTTTAAGTAATTTTCAAACGCATAATGAAAAATATTTTTTATTGAATGGTAAAATCCTTTAGCAATACATGTAAGATTTGTTGGGGGATCGGGCGTAAAGTACGGTGCATTGCATCAATGAAATTTTTGTCGATAAGTACACGGACATTTTCGATTTTATGCTTGATTTGATAAATCGAACCGAGTACAGAACATGGCGAAAAAAAACCAACATCGTAGTACGATGAAAATAAAAATAGATATTGCTTCCATAAAAGTTCTTGTTTTACAAGTTATGCTACGCGCATTATTATGTATTATGTTAAGTTATGCTGCGTGTATCCGAACGCAGTAATTGTTATGTTTGCGTATTTTACTCTTTGGCGTCGTTTTGCTTTTTTAATTCGCCTGCTCGTTCGCGTACCAACATATAAAATATAAAATGCGGAGTGATAATATGTCGATCTCGTTCGTTTCCGAAGCCTAAGTGGCTGCGCATAGCGGAGTTTATAGTTTTTCTATATTTCTATGAATTAAAAATCGGCTTTTATTTAGATTTTATAAGATTTATTTTATTATGAATAATGGAATGTTCGCATTTATTTGATAACGTCAAAGTGGATAAGAATTCCATCTTTCAGGACGGCACTATCACAAAGAACTTCAAATGTTCAGGTAAAATACTTAATTGATTTTTATAACAGACTCTGTTAAATACATTTAAATTGCTTAAGTTATAACCAAGTTAAGATATTTTCAATATGGGAGGTTAGATTGAAAAATCAATACAGTGAACCTAAAATAATCAGCTGTTCGGAGTGGGGGAGGGGAGGCGGCATGGGTGACCGCGAATGACGTGCCAAGCTATCGCTTTGCGCATTAAATAAAATGAATTCCAATTACTTCTGGTTGATCAAATATCAAATTCAAGACATGATATACTGTTTATCAGAAACATCAACTCAATTTTGTTAAATCAAATACTTTAAAACTATACACGAAATAAACTCATTATGCGCGAAAAACGGCTCTCAATGACTCACTAAGCAAAACATTTACTCGCTGCTAGCATCAATTTATTTTGCGTCGTTAACATAATCAGTGACATCTATGTCAAATTTGCAATCAGTTTATATACAACTCTTATCGTAAGATATTGAATAGATATTAACTTATGCACACCTGGAGATATCTATGAGATTTAGTTGTTAAACATGTTAATCAAAAATTAAAAATATATAAAAAACTGTAAATAACTAATTACGCTAGGGACTTAAAACTTTACTAAACACCTGCTATGTGGAGAGGGTGAATAGATAGGGGAAGGAAGTTGAGCGAGGTAATGAAATGACAACCCAATAACGCTATCAGATGAGCCATGCCTATGGGGGATTGACACGGAGACTGCGGGGACTGTATCTGTACTATACCTGTTCATTAAATACCAAACATCCAAAAATTACCAAAAGCCTTATTCATTTATCATATAAAAGAAATTATAAGTCAATTAAGTGGTATAGCTAGAAGAATTAAATGTTTCAGAATGCACAACTTCGGAGCAGAACTGGCTCTGCCTGCAATGTGGGGTTGTGAATTGTGGCCGCTACATGAAGGGCCATGCGCAGTCTCATGCGGAGACTGCCGATCACCACTTATGCATGAGCTGTGATGCATACTCAGTATACTGGTAAAACATTTTATGATTGATTTTGCAACTTTATTGTGAATCCATCTTTACCCTATATATCCCCACTGAGGAATTTATACACTACTTGCTTCGTCTGCGACTCCATCCGTGTTGAAGTAAAAAAAAAGTGAGTAGTCTATATGTTCTTCTAGACTATTGTCTATGTCTATGCCAAATTCGTAGAGATCCATTCAGCAGTTTAGGCTACAAACTCTGAAAACCATCTACATTTTCGCATTTATAATATTAGTAAGATTAGGGATAACTAAGTGTTAGTCAAAAAGTATTTTAATTGTGAAGTATAAATAGTAAATCCTCTTGTATACTCATTTTCATGTAAGTTTTATTTCTATATTCTATTATATTTTGGTTGAACATGTAACTTGTTATATGTAGGTCCTGGGTTCTAATCCCATCTTATAATAATAGATTTTTCAAAGGACCTATGTACATTTTTCTTTGTTTCTTGAATTTCTGACAGAGATGCAACTTGCACATATCTGTGACGAAATTCAAAGATATGAGTAAAGTCAATCTGTGCTGTGCATATGGTTTAGGCACTCTTGAGTAGGTTTAAAGCACCTCAGTGGGGATGTGTGAGTAACCTAGAAACAGTATTTTTAAAACTATTAAAACAAACAAAAAAGGTGCATAAACTTATTATTCTGTTTCAGCTATAAATGTGACGATTATGTCAGCAACGACATAGACAATGAAAGGATATCGGAATTAAGACAGAGTTTGATGCATTTCGGTAGAGATGACAGCGAGAAAAGTAAAGAAGAAATTGAAGACAGAGACGAATTGAACAGCCGTATATTTGACAGCATTATGAATGATACGCCATTGTCTATAGACACCATAGAGAATAGGATATCAGATGTGATACCCTCTAGCAGTGGCAGTGATATCTGTGAAAGTATCAGCAATGCAGATACAAGCTTATCGGATATTTATGATAAACCCATAAAGTCAAAGGTAAGCATTTAGATGTGCTCATATTGTAATATTCTAGTAGCCGAATACTGAAACGTAAGCGTCGCTAATAATCCAACAGACGTCAAAATTTTAATGGGTTTCAGAGTAAATGTTTCAATAGTCAGTTACTGAAAGTAATCATTTCTTTTTAAATTCTGCTTGCAATTTGATCAATGTCAATATTTTAATGGCAGTCATAATTTTAATTTAATTGTGTGTGTACTGGAATTTGGAGTTTTAGCGTAGCATTATGTAAATGTAGTTTAGTTTATTTGACTGTTGAACAGTAATTTTCTACTGATTGATTTTTGTAACACTAGCTTTCGCCCGCGACTCCGTCCGCGTGAAATAAAAGAAACAAAACTAAGTAACCTATATGTTCCAAATTTCATCGAGATTCGTTCGTTTAGGCTACAAACTCCAGACAGACTACAACAGACATTCATCCATCCATCTAAACTTTCCCATTTATAATATTAGTTAGATTAACTGTACTCTTTAATGTTGCCATAGGTGTGGCTAGCTGACCTAGGTCTAGTTTAAGGCAGCTATCATGGCCTATTTCATATTTCCTTATTCTCAAATTCAAATATTTTGTCCGGTTACAGAATACAGAAGAACCAGTAAGAAGTCTAAGGTTACGATCTCGCAAACGATCTCTTTCTGATGATAGTAGTTCTACAGAACAGCACAAAACTAAGGAGAAAAAGATGTCCCCTTGCAATGGAAAGATACAGAGAGAAAAAAAGATACTCGGCTTAAAGAATTTAGGGAATACATGTTTTATGAATGCAGTGTTACAAAGTTTGAACAATATACAAGAATTTAGCTGCTATTTCAGTCAGCTGCCGTCCCTAGAGATGAAAACTAACGGTCGGAAAGTTTACCATTCCAGGAGTTATACACGGCAGGAAATGCATGATGTGATCATGGCTGAAGAGTTGAGGAAAGTAAGTGTGTTAACTTTGTGATAATTTATTAGCTTTCGCCCGTGACTACGCCCCCATGGAATTAAAAAAAAAATGATAGTCAATGTGTTCTTCAAGACTATCCTCTACATCTATACCAAATTTCATCAAGATCTGTTCGGCAGTTTAGGCTACAAATTCTAACAAACATCCATCCATCTAAACCTTCGCATTTATAATATTAGTATGATGTATAATTTTGAAGGTGCTGATAAACTTGAACGCCGGTGGATGCGGTTCTAAGGGCGCGATATCTCCTGAATGCCTGTTCCTCGTCATCTGGAAGGTGGTGCCGAGGTTCCGCGGCTACCAGCAGCAAGACGCACATGAGTTCCTCAGATATATGCTGGACAGGTTAGATGATATATCCTTAGCCATCGCACGGGC